TTTTGGCCCCGCCCCTCAGGCCCCTGGGGGCGTAGGACTAAACCGGCAACTGTTTTTGTTGACCTTTGTCCATGGAAGGTCCCTGCAAAATTTCATTGAAATTGGTTCAGGGGTTTTGGAGAAGTCGAAAATGTAAATTGTTTACGGACGCACGACGGCGACGACGGACAAAAGGCGAACACAATAGGTCACTTGAGACTTTGTCTCAGGTGACCTAAAAATTCTTCATGTATATACATTCAGTTTCCACAGAAAATACAATGAAGCTGTTCAGCTAATATGTTTACTTAACTGACTCAAGTTTATTGTACCGACTGACCACAAAAAATAGAATCTAACAAATAGATGTAAACTTCATAAAACCTTTATATAAATTTTGATTGATCACATATAAAAGACAGACATGCTCATGAATAGACAAGTTACTGTCAGTGGCATATAAAACCATGTTGAGATGAGGCATTAGATTATGAAATTGCAATCAAATCTTTTTTCTTGTCATGTTTCAGTAAATTCTGTGTTCTGATAGATCTTTAAAACACAACAAATGTCTAATTTTTCACACTATAAGAAATGTTTAATTTTTCACACTATAAGAAATTAACTTCACTGTCACAATAAAATCTTCATTTGAATTTTTACCAGTGAAAGAAGTCGTATAACAGCATGATGAAAATGATACACTTTCAAATGAACTCTCAATATATATAACATTTCTCCAAATCATCACCACCGTTTAAATACACTGCCCTTACCTATAACCATGATGACCATGCCGACAGCACTGATAATCTCAATCTGATGGACACTTTTGAAGCCAGCTAGTTTCACCTTTGTAGTCGGCTTCCCAATCTGCATGCTGACTGCATATAATCCCTCGTCAGCTCCCAAAAGCAGCATCTGAAACAGGATAGGCAACAATTCCTACACCCTTGACAAACAGAAGGCTGGCTGGATGGTTATCTAGTTATAGCAATTCCCAATGAGTGTTAGTACTGATACACTACCATCAGTATTTATACTGGTACAGTTAAGATGAAAATAGGACTAACTGTTTTCAGGAAATTTTGAATAGTTTAAATAAATTCCAGACTTACCTGTTTTGAAAAAACTTTTGTACAGTTGATATCCAGCCGTTTCTCTCCCATCAACTCCATAATGACTGTGGTCTGTAGTTTCTGTAGAGGCAATAGTTTCAAAGGTAAGAACGTAAAAACAACAATAAAACTGTATCATAATGGAGACGGCTTGGTTTTGATATTGGAAGAAGTTTGATCTGAAATGATGCTTCAAGGTTATTTTAGATATGAAAAGAGTTGTATCGTGGCTCCAAAAGATATAATGGCACGGTACAAATACGGTAGCCTTGTGGTAGCATGCCGGGCTCATGACCCAAAGAAATGCAGGTTTGAGTCATGGCACTGTGTTGTATCTTTGAGCACCGCTTGTTCAACTCTACTCATCTGTAAATGAATTCATGGTTACACAGTGCTAGAAGTGTTGAATGCTAGCTGTGAGCGCTTAAATGGCAGCACCGGCTGTATGCTCTCCAGGGAGTTGAAAAAGATATTGGCTGGTTTCAAAGGCCCTTTCACCACGGATAATAATTTGTGAACCCCTTAAAAGCCTTTGAGACGACCTACAAACTAGGTTGTGATAAAGCGGTATATATCAAATTTATTATTATTTCAGGTGGAAATCACAACCTCCCTTAAATAAGCTTTGATGCTTTATCTATTTTACATTAATTATAAAACTTTTTCCCAATTTATATAAATCCATCTTGTTGGCCTTCATGGACACGTGCCTAGTGTCCTGATATGGCAGATAACCGGAGAACCTGAAGAACACTCACATGGTGGGGCAGTTGACCCCCTACCCTTCCCCACACATTACTTATAACTCATATAGCCCATACAAGTAGGTAACCTGAATATAATTTAGAACATATTTCTGTGGGTTGCCAGAAATGTCACTTGAGTATTTCTCTATAACAGATTACATTATCACAATTACATGTCATAGTGTCTGATTTTAAATCAGCCGTTCAGGGCTGTTTACAATACAAGTCTTACTTGTCTATTAACACTGTTCAGGGCTGTTTACAATACGAGTCTTACTTGTCTATTAACACTGTTCAGGGCTGTTTACAATACAAGTCTTACTTGTCTTTTAACACTGTTCAGGGCTGTTTACAATACAAGTCTTACTTGTCTTTTAACACTGTTCAGGGCTGTTTACAATACAAGTCTTACTTGTCTTTTAACACTGTTCAGGGCTGTTTACAATACAAGTCTTACTTGTCTTTTAACACTGTTCAGGGCTGTTTACAATACAAGTCTTACTTGTCTTTTAACACTGTTCAGGGCTGTTTACAATACAAGTCTTACTTGTCTTTTAACACTGTTCAGGGCTGTTTACAATACAAGTCTTACTTGTCTTTTAACACTGTTCAGGGCTGTTTACAATACAAGTCTTACTTGTCTTTTAACACTGTTCAGGGCTGTTTACAATACAAGTCTTACTTGTCTTTTAACACTGTTCAGGGCTGTTTACAATACAAGTCTTACTTGTCTTTTAACACTGTTCAGGGCTGTTTACAATACAAGTCTTACTTGTCTTTTAACACTGTTCAGGGCTGTTTACAATACAAGTCTTACTTGTCTTTTAACACTGTTCAGGGCTGTTTACAATACAAGTCTTACTTGTCTTTTAACACTGTTCAGGGCTGTTTACAATACAAGTCTTACTTGTCTTTTAACACTGTTCAGGGCTGTTTACAATACAAGTCTTACTTGTCTTTTAACACTGTTCAGGGCTGTTTACAATACAAGTCTTACTTGTCTTTTAACACTGTTCAGGGCTGTTTACAATACAAGTCTTACTTGTCTTTTAACACTGTTCAGGGCTGTTTACAATACAAGTCTTACTTGTCTTTTAACACTGTTCAGGGCTGTTTACAATACAAGTCTTACTTGTCTTTTAACACTGTTCAGGGCTGTTTACAATACAAGTCTTACTTGTCTTTTAACACTGTTCAGGGCTGTTTACAATACAAGTCTTACTTGTCTTTTAACACTGTTCAGGGCTGTTTACAATACAAGTCTTACTTGTCTTTTAACACTGTTCAGGGCTGTTTACAATACAAGTCTTACTTGTCTTTTAACACTGTTCAGGGCTGTTTACAATACAAGTCTTACTTGTCTTTTAACACTGTTCAGGGCTGTTTACAATACAAGTCTTACTTGTCTTTTAACACTGTTCAGGGCTGTTTACAATACAAGTCTTACTTGTCTTTTAACACTGTTCAGGGCTGTTTACAATACAAGTCTTACTTGTCTTTTAACACTGTTCAGGGCTGTTTACAATACAAGTCTTACTTGTCTTTTAACACTGTTCAGGGCTGTTTACAATACAAGTCTTACTTGTCTTTTAACACTGTTCAGGGCTGTTTACAATACAAGTCTTACTTGTCTTTTAACACTGTTCAGGGCTGTTTACAATACAAGTCTTACTTGTCTTTTAACACTGTTCAGGGCTGTTTACAATACAAGTCTTACTTGTCTTTTAACACTGTTCAGGGCTGTTTACAATACAAGTCTTACTTGTCTTTTAACACTGTTCAGGGCTGTTTACAATACAAGTCTTACTTGTCTTTTAACACTGTTCAGGGCTGTTTACAATACAAGTCTTACTTGTCTTTTAACACTGTTCAGGGCTGTTTACAATACAAGTCTTACTTGTCTTTTAACACTGTTCAGGGCTGTTTACAATACAAGTCTTACTTGTCTTTTAACACTGTTCAGGGCTGTTTACAATACAAGTCTTACTTGTCTTTTAACACTGTTCAGGGCTGTTTACAATACAAGTCTTACTTGTCTTTTAACACTGTTCAGGGCTGTTTACAATACAAGTCTTACCTGTCTTTTAACACTGTTCAGGGCTGTTTACAATACAAGTCTTACTTGTCTTTTAACACTGTTCAGGGCTGTTTACAATACAAGTCTTACTTGTCTTTTAACACTGTTCAGGGCTGTTTACAATACAAGTCTTACTTGTCTTTTAACACTGTTCAGGGCTGTTTACAATACAAGTCTTACTTGTCTTTTAACACTGTTCAGGGCTGTTTACAATACAAGTCTTACTTGTCTTTTAACACTGTTCAGGGCTGTTTACAATACAAGTCTTACTTGTCTTTTAACACTGTTCAGGGCTGTTTACAATACAAGTCTTACTTGTCTTTTAACACTGTTCAGGGCTGTTTACAATACAAGTCTTACTTGTCTTTTAACACTGTTCAGGGCTGTTTACAATACAAGTCTTACTTGTCTTTTAACACTGTTCAGGGCTGTTTACAATACAAGTCTTACTTGTCTTTTAACACTGTTCAGGGCTGTTTACAATACAAGTCTTACTTGTTTTTTTACACTGTTCACGGCTGTTTACAATACAAGTCTTACTTGTCTATTAACACTGTTCAGGGCTTTTTACAATACAAGTCTTACTTGTCTATTAACTCTGTTCAGGGCTGTTTACAATACAAGTCTTACTTGTCTATTAACACTGTTCAGGGCTGTTTACAATACAAGTCTGACTTGTCTTTTAACACTGTTCAGTGCTGTTTACAATTCAAGTCTTACCTGTCTTTTAACACTATCTTTTTTCTGCAAGTTTTTCACAGCTCCTTCAAAAGACGCCACCCACTTGGACTTTTCTGAGAAGTTCATTGCCATCAGGTATAATACTCTGTTAACAAATCAATTTGAATAATTTCAAACTTCACAAAAAAGGAAGAAAAAAAAAATCCATTGTTAATTATTGAATTTTCATCTATTCATCAATTCCTTACAAAGCTATGTAACTTTGCTGGATATCTAATTTTGCTTGAAAAAGCCCCTGCATAGTTCAAAACAAGCAAATTCGTGGAATTTACACTCCCTGCTTGCAGAACATATGGTAGATAAACATTATTGAGGTTAGGTTTAAACATGTGAGTATCGTGCTGTTGAGACATAATGTATAGCTTGAAACTGGGAAAAAATAAAAGCCCTATACCTCATTAATTATCCATAAATATGCACAAATCACATGGGTTAGCAAACTTAGCATGATTCGGATGCTCATACGGAATTTGGTTGAAATATCTGCACAATATCTACAGCAATTATCACAAAACAAAAACAAGAGGCCCAAGGGCCTTAGCGGTCACCTGAGTTATATCATAGGTACTGGTAGCTTTACTTTATTGTTTAGATGTGATGTGGAAATCAGCATGTTAACTAAGTGAAATACAATACTTGTCATGTCATCAATGGATAAGAATTTGAAAATATTGGTAAATGTTCCCTTTGGGGCCCCGCCCTAGCCCCTGGGGATGGGGCAGGAATCCCAATTTTACAAAGTAATACTCTCATTCACCCAAGATGATTCTGATTAAGTTTGAGTAATTTTCTGCTGAAAATGGATAAAATATATA